GTATATAGGTACAACATGTGGACCTCTCTCAGATTTGTTAATTTTGTAATGATATCTTCAATTCTCTAATTTTGGTGAATATTTTTTGTCATTTTTGGTAAAAAGTGATATTTTCAACTCCTTGTTGAAAACCGCAAGTCCGATTGCTTTGATATTACATATATAGGTACTACATGTGGACCACTTTCAAATTTGTTCATTTCATGATGATATCTTCAATTCTCTAATTTTAATGATTATTTTTGTAATTTTTGATAAAAAGTGATATTTTCTACTTCTTGTTAAAAACAGCAAGTTCGATTGCTTTGATATTACATATATAGGTACCGGTACTACATGTGGACCTCTCTCAGATTTGTTAATTTCGTGATATCTTTAATTCTTTAATTTTGTCATCTTGTCTAAGTCTAATTGCTTTGATACCTTACATACAGGTACCTCAGTTAGACCTCTGTCAGATTTGTTCATTACATGATGATATTTTCGATTATCTAATTTTGATGAATATTTTTGTAATTTTTGGTAAAAAGTGATATTTTTGAATTCTTGTTGAAAACAGCAAATACTACACTGGTATACATATTGTTCATTTTCTAATGATATCTTCAATTCTTTAATTGAAATGTGCATTGCTAACAGCGGAGCTATCTCAGCCGACAGGCTGCTTGTTATATATTATATGCACAATTGTTAGTGCACTAGTGAACTCAAAATTTGCTTTGCATGCAAACTGAGTAGACAAAATCAGCTAAAATGAATAATTTGAACCTATATTACCGGTATAGTTTAAGAAAAACAGTCACAAAAATGAATGACATATACTCTACCATTTGAGCATAACTAGAAAATGTTCCTCTCAAATTAGTCTTTATTATTTAAAATGTAAGATCTAATATAATTTTAAATATACATACAGATTGTAAATTGTCTTGCCATAATGATAATTCAGGGATAATGTTTTTTTGCAGATAAACCTTTTGCAGTGAATGAAACCCAAAATGAACAGTCAAGAGCAAATGAAGGGGAAACAGGGAAGCTACGATGTCTGTTTAACAGCAATCCTACCTCTACATTACAATGGTTTAGTCCAAACAGAAGTTTACTGACCAGTGATGACAGAATTATAATTACTAATTCTACACAAGGAACATTACATGAAAGCATAATTACGATTAGTAATACAAAAACTGATGATTATGGTAACTACACGTGTTTTGCTGAAAGCAACTTTGCAAATACAACATTTATAGTTGTGTTTGATGGAAAAAGTAAGTAAACATTATTCTTACTATTATATATTTTAACTGTCAATGATGATTGTGTCCACTTCATATTTGAAGACTAATATCAGATAGGCACCATAATTTTGAAACAATGAACAGTTCCCATCATGCAATTCTAGTAACAGATTTTTGTTTTGTTTGATTCATACAAGATTTAACTAATGCCTTCTTCAAAGTCATCAGGTACTTCAAAAGAGTGAAGAACAAGAGAAATGTCTCGCTTGTTCCTTCACTTAACACGAGTTTGTATACATTGATGTCAGACTTGTACTCAGGGTTACACTGGTTGGTTCATTTTATTTTATCAGAAATATCAATAAAAACAAAAATTTGAAAGAAAACTACAGAAATTTACAATCAGCTGTGTATAAATCAAATTACGCACACTGATCAAGTGAATGATGACCTCAAGATTGTAAATAATGTATTTGATAGGGGCGGGAATGGCCGCATTTGACTATTCATCAGTTCATAGCTATTTGTTGATTTGACCTGCAAAAATCGTGTCACTTGTTCTTGCTCTAAAATACCCCAAATTGCTCAAATTGTCACACTCAAATAATAATAATATATTAATGATCTTTTTCCATTTATAAGCAATCTCCTCTTAATTTTTTTCGTAATCTGATGAGGGGGGAGGGTTATACTTGGACAATGACAGTGCTGGAAATGCATTAGTTTTTCACTAGTTTTTAATTAGTCCCCGTTCGGACGGAGTCCGAAAACGGGGACTTATGTTTTGCCCTGTGTGCGTCCGTCCGTGCGTCCGTGCGTCCGTGATCACCTGTATCTGGAACATGCATGGACCGATTATGTTCAAACTTCACTCATACATCACACATTATATGGGACATATGCACATGCATTTTTTTCATGATCCGATTAACGATAGCCGAATAGCGGCCATTTTAAGGCCGAAAATGCATCAAAATGGCACATTTTCACCATTCCGGACCCGGATCTCAGTTATGCATGGACGGATTTCGTTCAAATTTGGTACATACATTAAACATAATAGGACCTTGATGCACGTCATTTTTTTTTTTCGGATCAAGTTTGAAATGGCCGACTGGCGGCCATTTTGTTTTAAAGAATTCAGTTCTGGATCCGTATCGAGACATGTCTGGATTGATCAAGTTCAAACTTCACACACACAAGGTACATCATGTCACAAATATGTATGTGCATTTGTTTCATAATCTCATTAACGATAGCCAAATGGGGGCCGCTTTAAGGCCGAAAATGCATTGAAATCGCACATTTTCACAATTCCAGAACCGGATCTCAGTCATGCATGGATGGATTTTGTTCAAATTTGGTACATACATTAAACATAATAGGACCTTGATGCACGTCTTTTTTTTTCGGATCAAGTTCGAAATGGCCGACTGGCGGCCATTTTGTTAAAGAATTCAGTTCTGGATCCGTATCCAAGACATGTCTGGATTGATCAAGTTCAAACTTCACACACACATGGTACATCATGTCACAAATAGATATGTGCATTTGTTTCATGATCTGCTTAACAATAGCGTAATGATGGCCATTTTAAGGCCGAAAATGCATCAAAATCACATATTTTCACAATTCCAGAACCGGATCTCAGTCATGCATGGATGGATTTTGTTCAGATTTAGCACAATGTGTTGTACATATGCAGGTGCATTTCGGTCATGATCTGCTTTGAATGTATATGTCACTCAAATATGAACGGAACGGGGATGTGTCATTGACAATGACTTGTTTTTAATACATGTAATTGTTACTTTCTCGGTATCGTTTCGTATTTGGTTATATAGGGGTTGGGCTATAGTTCGACCCGTTTGCCTGGACAGTGAAGTACGTGAATATCATTAACATATCATTATAAGCTAGCTTGATTATGAAACAGGAAATATATAAACCAAAGCTGTACTTTCAGACGTCTAGCGCAATTAAAACAATTCCCAAGTACCCAAGCTGTAAAAATATATAGAAAAGCGTGTTTTTCTTTATTGTTTTTGCCATAAATACAAATGATTGGGCATAATTTTTTTCATTCGTTCCATGCTCCTGAAACTATTTTATATCGTCACCAAATCAACCACCACGCCAGCCACAGCCACGCAAGTTATTCCCAGTTTTCAAGAAAATAATTGGAGTTTGCCGTACCAGACTTGGTAAACAATTGTACAACTGAAGTACAAGTGTGGGTCAGACCCTGAGAGTGCTACCAAATCCGACTTCTGGCATCGCTACGCATTGTCAGTCGGTGAAACGTCGAATCGTCGTGTACGCTAAGCAGCACGGTCAGCGAGCAGCCGTTCTTATTTATTTGACATTTGTTATTTCCATAACAGTATTTTTACAGAATAAATTAATTGCAATGATACATCATTAATAATTATTTGTCTGTTTTGGTTGTGTGTGTGTTTGCCTATCCCTTCCCCATTTCACAATGAAAAAGTTTGATCACCCTGGTTTAAGAGCCACTGGCTACAAAGTTGTCAAAATGTTACCTCAAATAAGCACCACCCAGAAATGAAAGTGTTACAAAGTGGCTCTTATTTGAGGGTTTTTATGGTAACATGGATTACTATGAAAATTCCTGCAAAATAATCTATATCTGCATTTTTTCTAACAGTTTTTCGACAACAAATATTTTGAACTGAGTAAAAAAACGAAATGTTGATGACTTGTGTGTAAATTATGTAACACTATTGAAATATGAATTGAAATCAATTTTTGTTGCCCCTATTTATTCTATTGAAATGTCTGATTCAATCAGAATCAGTGAAGTTAACTGTTTAGTGATCATTTTCATTCATTCAATTAAAAAGTGTATTAAAAAGCTTTATCGTGATCTTTGGGCTTATGTGAAACATTCAAAGTGATGACGAGTGCACTAGAATTCGTGGCTAATGAAATTTGAATGTACAATTACTATGGGGTCGAAATAATTACCAGCATTTGGATGTGCTGAAAATAATTGAAAATGAGACATTAGTAAATATTTATTGCAATTCATACAAATTTAAACATTCCTGTATTTTACAATATAACTTCAGGAAGAATCTCAGAAAGCAACTTTAGATTGTAAAATAAAAAAGAAAAAATTTAATTTTGTGAGATTAAATGTGAATTTCGGTTAGTTAAAAATCATTACATTTTGTAGTTTTGAATATTTCTATCGGGTTCTATGACACAGTGTCATCGACATTTGCAAACATTTGTCTTCACGAATGCTATAAAATCACAAAATCTTGAAAATTCCTCGAAGCAAAAATTAAGCGATTTACACTTTGTCAATCATGTTCTAACTTCTAGATACCATTTTTGTTTTTTTTGTAGCTAAGAAAAGGAAAGCGAGTGTTGATTCTTCGGAGGAAGATTCTGATGACAGCGATTCTTCACTGGACTCCGACTCAGATAGCTCAGAAGCTGACAAGAAGAAAAAAAAGAAGAAAGCCAAAAAGAAAGACTCAAGGAAGAAGAAAAAAGAGAAAAAGAAAAGGGACAAGAAAAAACAGAAAGGCAGTGAAAGGTATTTACTCCTTTCCTTTCTCTGGCAATTAAGCATTTCTGTGATGTCCAAATGCATAGAAGCATATTCTCAGGCACAGAATTTTCTATGTTGCTAAGACACGCACCACTTTGCCATGTATTTCTATGAGTGATATGCGAGCTGCCATGGAACACCGGGCGAACGCCAGTGAAAAAAGCTAAATTTGAGAAAACAACACAAACTTAAACTTTGAAGTGTATCCTGAGCAACCAAATTTGTACATGTTACACACGTCCCCCACGTCCCCTAGTTTTGTTACACTGTTTGAGAGAGTCTCAACAACTATCCCAAAGTACAGTTTTTCTGAGTTTTCAACTTTTGTTTTTACCATGATGGTGGAAATTCCCCCTAGAATAAGCAACGTTGTTTTGTCCTTTGTGTACCAAAGTCTACTTTTGTAATCTTGCACAAAATAAAACCTGCAAAAACTCTTTTGTAATTTTTTTCAAAATTGTGATCAAGACTTGAAGCAAATATGAAATTATGTCCATTTAGTACAAAAATATAGAAAACCACTTAAAAGTAAGCAAAATGTTGCACCAAGATTTTGGTCAGAAAAATTAGAAATTCCGAAACGAGTACTTATGGTTTACAATTTGTGCATGTGTATCCATCAATGCATCCAGAGCACATAGTCTGTGCTCTCGCTGTCGCTCGCAAATGTCGTAAATTACGAAATTTTGACAAAATTTACGAACAAAATAAATATCTATTAGTAGGATTTACGAACA